GACAATCTTTTAATATCCCTCAGGCTTCTTCTGCCTCTTTCCATCATCCTTCAAATACTGGCAGGTGATTAAGAAATATATAAAATTCACTACTGAAAAACCAGGCACATGGGGGAAGAGGCGGGGACCAGGAGGAGAGGATGATGGGAACTATGATTGGGATGTAAAGTGAACAACTAAATAAATAAAGTTAAAAGAAAAAAGGAAGACCAGTCACACACGAAAGAAAGAGAAAGAGAGAGAGAGAGAGAGAGAGAGAGAGAGAGAAAGAAAGAAAGAAAGAAAGAAAGAAAGAAAATGGTATTTAAGGTTTAAGTAGGAATACAGACATAATACCTCTAAGAAGAAGGTGTTGGTCACTAGGGCCTGTCTTAAGACCTGAGACTTGCTGGTTCTCTAGGACTCAGTAAATGCTAACACCCCATCCAGTTCTGGTGACCAAAGCTAGGCCTCCATAGCAAGCCCATTGCAGCAAGCCCACTTGCCTGCAATGGTGGGGCTAACAGTTGTGACTACTCGAATTTACCATAAGATTCTCTTTTTTCTTTGCTCAAACCTAATGCTCAAATGGAGATTTATATACTCCTGATGTAGTCTTTTAAAACAGTGTATAATTTTTTGTGTATTCTCCCATTCTCAATAGACTGAATAAAAAGAATTTTAAGGGATAGAATGGATTTTAAAGGGGCTGGAGGGATCACAGAGTGGATAAGAGTCCCTAGCACCCATGTGAGGTGGCTCACAACCACCTGTAATGGCAGCCCTATGTGTTACCATACCTCTGTGCTCCGTGGGCACTTGCACCCATCTACCACTTTTTAAAACTCCCATTAAAACGACAGCCTAGAAGGACTAACTACAGACATGTAGATGTCTTCAGAAATAGCAGTAGACAAGCATCAAATTTACTATGACATATTTGGATGGCTACCTTCTGTTTAAAAGAGTCCCTTAAAATTCACTCTCATTAACATGAATTTTCTGTTTTAACAGATTCACTATGAAACCTGATAAATTTGATGGTGCTTCTACTCAAAGTGAATTTCGTGGGTTATCCAATAAACTGGCATTTTGAAGATATATGCTTAGTTATTAAGTTAATCCATTTGTGCCTATTTCCCAGCCTCCTCTTTGTACAGTTATTTACAGCACCCTGATCCTTAAAGTTTATGTCATACTGAACAGCATTAGGGGGGTGGGGGGAGGATAAAAGGACCAGGAGGTCAAGTTCATTGTCAGCTACACAGTGAGCTCAAGGACAAAACGAACTATATGAGATCCTATCCCAAATCTTCAAAAAATATATTTTAAATATTTGTAAAATAAAAACCAATGGCTATCACCTTACTCACATAATCCACAGCCCCACAGCATCTAACCCATGCCTTTACCACGTTAACATAACCCCGTTACCTCCTTGTTCTTTGATTCTTAGAGCATTTATTCATCGTAATTCGGAACACTGCTGAGCACAGAGTGTATAGTAAGTAAATATCTACAAAAAAAAAAATACTAAATCATGTGTATTTTCCATTATTCTCTTTATTCAAATGTATATTTATCTTAAAAACTACCCAAGGAAGCTTCATAAATTAAGAAATGTAGGCACAGATTTAGGGGAAAAGGAGTCTCTCCAGGTTCACAAAATGCTAAACTATACTTAGAAAACCCAAATATAGCAAAGCCTGTGTCACAAGAAGATCTCAGACAGCAACCCTGGGAGGAGCGGCTACCCGAAAGCAGACAGCAAAGTGCCTGAGTCATCTCAAACTCGCAAGGCAAACTGCACCTTCGCCTTCAAGCCTTTCTCTGCGCAGGAGTGCCTCTGCTTGCACTTAATCCAGAATGCGGCTGCCACAGCCTCTCTTCTGGAGACAAGTTAGAACTTTCAGTCATGGAGAAAGAAATTTATTACACCTTCTCAAAATACACTTGTGATATTTTGGCAATCCATACTAAAGTTTGGTAAATAGCCACAATCACCTGACTCAGCCAGGGGGCAAGCAAGCATTCACCTAAGGTTCAAGTCAGCAGCTCTAACTGACCTGTGTTTATTCATGAACATGATGAGCTCTGAATTCCATTCAGAGAAATTCTTCCTGTAAAAACTATATTGAAAGAAACATTAGCTTTATTCAATAAAATAACTTTCACAGTGCCATTCAAATGTTAAATTAGGTAAATTCCTATGTATATTTTCTCAAATTCTACATTATATCTAAAATCTCAGCTCTAATATTAGTTTCATGATTTTCCTTTTGAACAGATTTACAGGTTTGAATCTGTAGAACTCTATCCAATTAAGCATGTTTTTAAAGGAGAAGACTTCCTTTCTTTGTATCCACCTTCACATCTTTTTAAACAGCTCTTTGGGCTTCTACCAAGTCTGTGCTCTGTAACCCACGGTTAACAAAATGGATTCATATCCCAGCACTGCCTCTATCAGTTATGTTATCTTCACCAGGATTACCACTTAAAGCAATTAATCCTCATTCATTATCCTGTATGGAATTAAGATCAACACTACTATTGCATAGAGCTAATAACAAAATATATCCCATAGCAATGTGGGAGAGGCGCATAAGAAGGTGCACATGACGAGGTCAGCCAAGGGGCTAAGGGTATGCCTCAATGGTCGAGTGTCTGCTAGGTACTCGGGAGGCTCTGGCTCAATCCCGAGCCCTGGAATGGAAAAAGATGAAGGTTGGAGCGTTGCTCAAAAGTCCTAGGACTTAACTGATACAGTCAAGCCCATCTAGCACTCTTCCGGGTACCAGGAACCAGGGAATACTAATTCAAACACAACTGTGACCTGACAGCACTTGCACTTACCTGAGGGAGCGACAACCGAAATGCATGATGTCATATAAAGGTGCATATACATAGCCATTAGAAATTAGCCATCGAGAGTAAGAAAAGAAATGAGGGAGCACAGGATGAAACTATACTATGTACACATGACAGAGAAGGGTTCTCGGATGAAGTGATTCCTGAGAAGCAACGGAACAAAGAAAGAAGAGGCCATGGAAGTCCACTGGGCTCGCTGGTTTAAGAAGACAAGCATGCGTGATCAGCTTTACTTACAACAATACTTCCTCTCTCCTAAACCTATGCACAGGCTCTGCAAGGCAGTACAGGAAGAAACCAGTCAGCACGTGAGGAGCAGATCATAAGGCCATTTACACCATTATTAAGCTATAAAAGTCAAGCAGTCCCCCACTCTACTTGGCTAGTCTCCCTGTACTTGTGGGTAAATACAAGGAATAAAGATAAAAAACTGCTTTAGTCACTTAGGCATTACAGTAATAAAATTATATTTCATGAATAAGAGAAAAAATAAATGAGAAACAGAAATTGCACCTAAAGCAAAATAATATCCTTTGTGTAGGGTAAAAATGAAGTCTAGAAAGATGAAAATTAGATATTTTATAGCATATTTTATGGTCAAATGTATTAACTTCTTATACAATTTAAATCAAGAAATAGACTCAGTAATAAGAGTACAAACAACTTTTCAAAGGAAGATATATGGTGATGATACCAGCACACAAAATCCATATCAATTTGTTCTCCACTCATAATTGAAAACTGTCCTTCATAACCTCCATATTACAGTTATCTTTTAAAAGAGTAATATGATTCTTTGAACAATGTTTATGATAAACAGATTCTCATGTGCATATTTTACACACTGGGTTTAAGTTAAGTGAGGAGGGAGACAAGCTTTGTTTTCACCCCACATGGCAATCATATGTAGCACAGCTCCCAGCGCTCACTTATTTGCAAAGCTAGGACTATAAAATGATGGGATAATCAACTCCATGGTATTAGAGATCTGAGGGAAAGATAATAATTGACCATGTAATAGTCTCGAGAATCTAATCCATCACCTAAGTTCATTTTGTGGAAATTTTTATGCAGAGAGAGATGTAATTTTATTTGGAATTATATATTACTACTCAGGCCCAGATCTTCAAGTTAATTTCTGTCATGGATTTGATCTCTACCATGGACCTGACTGAGCCTATAGATTGTGCAAATATCTGGTTAGTTTGTAAAGCCAAGCATCAGTACATGTAAATCAGTTTATTTTGTATTAACCTAAAACATGTCAAATATATGTTGCTGGATTAAGGTTGACTCATAATAGGATATTCTGGAAGTGAACTTCATACTTTTGAGTGTATAATTAAGAACACAAAGCTCTTGCCATCTTATTGGAGAAACCGGATGCAGAGGATATTAAAGTTAACGTCAGGCTTGTGGATTCTGAGTAGCTGGGTATAAAACAACAACACCAAATTGTCAAGTCGTATGTTATGAGTTTAAAGTAAAAATTGGGGGGTTCTACACTGTGACGTCACCCACCTATTTTAATGTTTCTCCCATTTTCACACTGTTCTTCATGTCACAGAGCCCTCGAAGGAAAGGGCCCCTGCCATCCCCACCCCTAACCCCAGCCCTCAGTGCTGAAAGGCCCACTGTTGCACTGTGGTAGGTCCCTCACGTGCTGTCTGGAACATACACACACTCCTCACGCCCAGTCTAACCTCACAAGTCTCTCAGTACATGAAGAACTATTTGAGATCAATCCGAGAGGTAAAACCATCCAAAGCAAGCTTGGGCCCGTTTTCTGAGAGCAGTGTAGCTTTAACCAGTCCCAAACTTGCAATGCACTGTAAACCTCAGACTCAAAACTAAAATTCTGACTTACCTCTAAATGTAGACCTTTTGCTAGAACCTTTCAAAGTATGAATCTCACATTTTTCAAGATAAATTGTGAAAGAAAGAAAACAAATTGGGCCATTTGCATTCTAGCAAATACTGAGCAGAGAGGCAATGTGTCTTTAATTTTCAGCTAGAGTGCCAGGAGTTATTGGTATTCATACAAGTGATTTGTTTTGACTTTGGCACATAACATAAAAGCTTTCTTCTGCGAGAAATGTCAACATAGTATTCTTTTGTAAAAAGAAAGAAAGAAACAAGAGTTTAGCTCCTACCTTAGGAATAGGATTCAGCAGGACCACCCCAGATTTCTTGGTGATGACTTGTTTTGTGGAGAAGTGGTGATCTATAAGTTGAGGGATGTTGGAAAACCCAGTACCCTCAAATCGATAGAGATTCTGGAGAGAGAATGACAACGTAGAATTGTCAGGAAGACATTGTTTCAGAAAAAAAAAAAAAAAAAGATCTTCATCCACGAGCTAAGTTCTCCTTAAGGAGCACTGTCAATGCACAGCAACATACAAATCTCTAACAACACTCAACTACACACCTGTAGACACTAGTAAATAAAAGTTAAAAATACAGAAAAACAAAACTCTACAATTTATAGCCAAATCTTTTGACAAAAAATTCAAAATAAGCATAATTCACATTGTTATTATAGTAAGAAAAAAGTGAACAGAACTGTTTTGCATTTTACTAAAATGATGAGCAAAGCAGGCAAGGTAGGTGCCCACTCAAGCTTGGGCACAAGAAAGATGCTTGCATGTGTCTCCATGTATATATACTCTATTCAATAAACTTTCAGTACCCACATCAAAAGTCTGAAGAAACCTAACAAAATAATAAATAACTTAATATCGATAATAATTTCTTATTTGCTAATATGTATTTTTCTACAGTAGGACATCAATGAAGTACTGACCTATAAGAAATAAAAATTCAAACATGATTCGCACATGAAATGAAGATAAAGAGGTCATAAGGAGCATCGGTGATGAAACCTTCGAGATCAGCAAGCTCAGAGCTTTGCACCTTCTTAGATTTATTTTGGCATTTCAATGCATGTGCCCTGTGAACGCGTGCAGCGCATGTGGGCATGCGTGGAGGCCAGAGACGGCACCGGTGAGACTAACTGGACTTCATCCTCCACAAGAGGGGCAGATTCTCCTGATAGCTGAGCAGTCTCTCCAGCTTCACACTTCACATACCCTGTCACTAGGTAAGCAGCACTTTCTCACACTCAGTCAAGCCTCTCCTGGTTTTCATATTTAAATAAGCCAGTGGTTACCTGTGAGAACTGACAGCAGTAAACACAGAAATAAACCATTAACAACACTTTCCAGTGCACTGTAATAAAGGCTTCTGTGTGGCTCCTCCTTGAGGTTTAACTAATACATAGGAAGATTCAATGCCAATGCGTACCATTTTAAGACAACTATTATGCCAGATGTGGTGCCATACGCCTTTAATCTCAGGAGGCAGAGGCAGGCGGATCTCTGAGTTTGAGGAGAGCCTGGTCTACAAAGACAGTTCCAGAACAGCCAAGGCTATACAGAGAAACCCTGTCTCGAAAAGCAAACAAACAAACAAAAACTGTTAAGAAATAGAACTTTGCAACTTTATAAAACTAGGGAGGGGAAGCAGGAGGGGTTGTGAGAGGCTGAGAAGGAGATCATGGGAGAAACAGAAGCAAGTTAGTTAAGTCAGACCAAAATCCCACTGGAGAGGAGGACACGGTTTGCTGTTCTGTAGCACAGTGAAGGACGCACAGTTTGCAACAGTAAACCCGAGACAGGAAACGTGAGATGTCCTAGAAGGGCAGCATGCAGTGACAACGCCAACCCTACCAGCACCTCAACCAAACATACAGTTCCCACCTCTCTGCTCTCGACCTGCTCTTAGGGCAGCAGTTGGGCACCCTGCCCCTGAAGACCACTCCTTCGCCTTGCTCAACACTCTTTCTTCCCTCAGCTTAAAAGCCAAAGGTGTCTGGCACTCTGGGCTCACTACTGCCTCTCTACCTCCTCTCTCGCCACTCCTCCTCTCTGCCCGTTAATCCATGAGCACTGTAATTACCTTCTTGTTCTAAAATGTGGTTCACACTCCTTCATCAGGCCTAGAGGAGCGCTGGTGTGCAACATGAATGAATTTATAAGCCAGCCAGCCCTGTAGGTAATGTCTCCTTTACTGACTTTCCTTCCAGGATGTCATCCATGTCTTTACGTGACGTTAACACTAGCCACCTACACGGTATGCAATCTTCACACTTACACCCCAATATAATTTCTTACTTCTTCAGCTTTATTGACATTTTCTCTTTAGAATCTATCACTATTACTTTTGACCCTATTATCATATATATTTTACTTATTTTTAAAGGGGTGTGTGTGTGTGTGTGTGTGTGTGTGTGTGTGTGTGTGTGTGTGCACACATGCGTGCATGCAACTGTGTCCACAGAGGACAAAAAAGGGTGTTGGATTCCCTGATGCTAGAGTTACAGGTAGCTGTCGCACACTGAGCATAGATACTCAGGGAATCCAACTCAGGTCCTCTGGAACCCATCTCTCCAGTGCTAACTTTACTTATGTGTTTGTTTGTTTGTTTGTTTGTTTTAAAATTATCTAGCTCCCTTCTAGAATGCAGAAAATTAAGCAAAAAAAATTATTTATTTTTCACTCAGAGTGATGCCTAGGACAATCTGTGGCATATATGGCCTGTAGAAATAAACATATGTGAATGACATGAAAAGCATTAAATGTTGTGAAGTAAATGAGACAAAAGAGATGGCTTAAAAATAGACACAGGAAAGTTCACACACTCATGAGCATGAAATGTTAATGTACAATGTTTGATAATAATAATAAAATGAAGTTCATAAAGATGAAACTTCACATCAGCCCTGATATACGTCTCATGTAAAGTTCTAATCTGTCTCCAGAACTACACAACTAGCTAATACTAAAGATTTTCAGTTTTCCCTTCTTAATTTAAGAACATATCAAAATTTGAAATTATTAATTTTATAAAAAATATTCTGATAGCCTGGTGAAGTTCTTGGGCAACCTAACATGGTATAAAATCAGTAAATTCCTTTTTTCCAAGCAGGAAGATAGGTGGATGGATATAAAATATTAAGTCATTGTCAATGAGGTCTAAGTAATGACAGAGAACAGATCATCTGCACTGTCTTGGATTGCTTCTTCACTCTCAGGATTCCACATCATGGACTAGATTTGGCTTCTAATGGATCTCTATGAATTCCTTCTAATGCAACTGAGTCATTCACATACAGAATGATGCAACCTTATGATAATATGATAGAAAAATAAGACTAATTTGATATTTGTTTGTTTGGTTGGTAGGTTTGAGTGATTGATTTGGTGTCTTTGGAAAGTGGATCTTGCCATATCTACAAGCTGTCCTTGAGAATAGTTACTCGATTGTACCTCCTGGGAAGGTTTTGGAATGACAGAATCCCAAATTATATTAGAAGTATAGTAAATGACATAAGAGTTTCACTTAAACTTTAAAGTAGTTATTGCCTTGCCCTGGTGACTGAATGATTACTGTACGATGGAAAAGTCATCCTAACTGTACAAGGATAGGCCACAGGTTAGAACTGCTGTGCAAACACACGCTGAGAACCACAGCAGGCGTTTGAGGTGGAAAGAGCCAGGAGGCTGCGGTGACGAAGGTAGGCATTCCGGGGCTTGATCACCTCAAAGTGAGCTTGCCACATGGTCAATATCCAACCTCTGGCCATTTCTTAATTCAAAAAGTGTGACTGGTCAGAGCCTTGCACCTATCTGAGCTACAATGTGCTGCTTTCATTTGTGATCGTATTAGGTAACAAGTAATTCGAAGTAGCATATCCATCACTTTAAACTTTGCTCATTTCTTTATGGTGAATACATTAAAGTTCCTGTTTTGACATATGTAATATATTATTGTTAATATATTCTTTGCCATGAAAAACCAGAACTTATTCCCATCTTAAATAACAGCACACTATCCCTGCTGATGGACATCTTCCCCCTTCCACCTTTCTCTACTCTTCCCATATTCTGGGCTTCCACACAGCGTCTTCTCCTGGACCATTTCACATAACAACACTAGCCCAGCACATCCATGTTGTTATCTAGGGCAGGATTTCAAACTTGCTTTGTGGCTGAACAGTATGCTATGTTGACTATGTGCCACCACTTTTACTGGACATTTAGGGTGTTTTCACATCCTTGTTACATCCTGAATGGTGTAGAAGAAACAATGGAAATGTATCTTTTAAACATGTTCTTCACTTCAGTTAGTCACATGATCCAAGGAACAGGGTTTCTGGATCTTGTAATTCTGTTCTCAGGTTTTTGAGGATGTTCTATACTGCTATACTGGCTATGCTAATTAAACTTCTCAACAACAACAACAACAAAAATCATCTATTTTATTCTTTATTTCCTCACAGCTTTTGCTCTTAGTCTGTCTTCTGAAAAACAGTCTCAGAAGAAAAAGCATGCTATCTTAATAGTTTAATTTATATGAGAGATGTTGAGCATCTTGCATGACTATCTGTTCCCATTTTTATTTCTTCTTTAAAAAAAATCTATTGAAGGCATGCTGCTATGAAAGGCGGAAACTCATCGACAAGGAACTACTGGCAATGGGTGACTAATGAGAAGAAGATCAGTCCTCCCAGGGATGAGCCCTCTAAATGGCTGTCCAGCACAAAGTTGTCTGCTCCCCACCCATTAACACATAAATAACAAAAAACACGTGGCAGGCTGTATTTATAAGTTGTGCATATAAATGCACACATGCACATATAGACATATGGGGAAAGAGGCTATCAGTGTGAGAATGGAGGACCAAGAAGGAGATGTAGGGAGAAGGCCTGGGAGGAACTGGAGGGAAGAAAAAGAAAAGGGGAAAGTGATATAATTATAGTATTATTAAAATATATAAAAATTAGAAAATCAAGTTAAAAAAATTAGAAATTTGCTCAAAATCTTTCTTTTTTGAATGGGTTGTTTGGTTTTGTACAAAAATTTTTTTTTTTAAATTCTTTACATATTGTCCCTTTGGCTATATAGTTTGCAAATGCTTTCTTGATTCTGTTAAGCTGCCTCTGTAGTCTGTTGATGATTTCCTTTTTGTGCAAATACTTTTGTTTTTTCATTTGATGTAAACCTAGCAAACAATATCAAAAGCCTACTTCCCAGGCCAGTATCTTAAAGCACTTCCTGTTTTCTTCTACTGGTTTCAAAAGTTATGGTATCATATAGAAGTTTTAATAGATTTTTATTTGATATTTGTAACTGTGAGATAAAGAAGCTCCTTGTGCATATGGGAAGCTAATTTTCACAACGCCATTTTGTGTTCCTACCTCTGTCAAAAACCAACCAGTCACAGATGTGTAAGGTGGTTTCTGCCTTTCTATTCTGCTTACTGGGACACAGTTCTTTCTGTTTTTAATGTCACTTTGATGACTACAACTTCCTAGAACATTTTTAGGTCTGGTGACGCCTCCAGCTTCTCTTTGCTCAAGATGGTTTCGGCTATTGGGTTTATCTGTAGTCTCTTAAGAACTTTGAGATTATTTTTCCTAATTCTTTTTTGATGAGTCTGTATATCACGTGGGAATATTTTAATTATATTGACTTTTTCATGCATATAGAACATCTTTGTATATATTTGCATGTTTTTCAATATCCTTCATCCATGTTTTAAATTTTCCATTTCCTTTCATTTCTCTGTTACATTTGTGGCTAGAGTTTATAGCTGTTTGAAGAGGGATTATTCTTTTCATTTTTCTTGTCAGGTAGCTTACTCAGCATACAGAAATATGATCACTGCTCAGCCTTTTAGCTAAGATTGAGTGCATACAGAAATACACATGTGTTTGGGGGCTGACTTTGAATCATTAATTTTACAGAATTCATTAGTTCCAACAGCATTTCAAAGGTGAATCCTTTAGAATTCTCTATATACAAGACCATGTAATCTTTTAACAAGGGCAGTTTGCTTTTTCCTTTATTTGTCTGGATTTCTTTACATCTTTCTTCCTTCCTACCTGCTCTGGTGAGGACTTACAGTTCTGTGTTGAGGAAAGAACCATGAGCATCCTTGTCTGGTTCCACACTTAGAAGGAAAGCTGTCCTTTGCGTGTCTGTCATACATGACCTTCACTGGCTTACAGTATATTCTTTCCACCTGAACTTTGTAGGGTCAGTTCTCTCTGCCATGCGAGTCCAGCAGGCGTGGTGGCAAGTGCCTTTACCAGCTAAGCAATCTCAGCAGCCTCTGCTGTTCTCCATGTGTTTTTGCGCATGCATTCAAGGCCTTTCTGACCTTGTTCATGGTATCAGAGATGAGGTTTACTAAGTTTACTAAGAAGCATGGGAGGGTCCTTGGCTGAAATCTTGCTATTGCTTTTTTAATATTGGCACTGGTTGCTAAGGATTTCCTTTTGAAAATGGCATTTGCCTTATTCTGTAAGTTTTAGTATAATGTTTTTCCATTTTCATTTATATCAAGAATCTTGCCTTTTAAATATATTTAAATAACTACTAAATTTCATATATTAAATACCAACTCTAGTTTTATGTTACTTTTGTGTTATTTCTGGCTCATATGTTTGGGCTTAAAATAATACTCTATAAGTATTTTCTAAATAAATGAATTAATATATTAATGAATAAACAAGAGAATAAACAATACCATTATATGAAGATTTTCACCAGTTTTATTTTTTTAATTATCATTTTATTTTTAATTTATCATTTCCTGTTAATCTAAATTTCATGGCTCAGTCAACCCTGAAGTTGACTAAGTTCAAATTAGTATGTACACAAGTTACTAAATCCCTCAAATCCTATAGGTTCTGGTTATGATTGCAGCTTAATCTTTAGGTGAGGTAATTAGTATTACCCTTGTGCCTTGATATAAACTGAAGTTCTATGGAAAAGCATTTTCCAAATGTAAGCCATTCGAAATGATGGAGTAAAAATAACAAATACAGGCAACATTTCTTCTATTTGCCAGAACAATTGTCACCATAAATTTATCAATCAGTAAAAGCAAAAATGTCAAAATTACTGTTCATCTACTTAGTGCTTAATAAAGACAATCTATCAGGAAGTGACTTAGCAATACTTGGGGCCCACACGATAGCTTATTGGTTAAATGCACTTGCTGCAAAAACCTGGTGACCTGAGTTCGATTCCCCAAAACCCACGGAGTTAGAAGGAGAGAAATGACACCTGCGAGTTGTCATCTGACCTCCATGCATGTGCAAAGCATCCCCAGCCCCTGCCCCACACATCACAAACACAGGCGATGATCATGAATAACTCAGTGTGAGAAAGGAGCCTAACAATTTAAAATTCCTAAAAGTAGTCTTAGAAGAGTAAATAATGAGAATGTTGTTTATATTTCTTTATCATTTTCTATTTATTGCTTATTAATGTAAAGAAGTATTATAGAAAAATAAAAGACCAGTAATAATGAATCATAAATTTGCCACTGATGAATTGAAGAATTTCATTAATACCATACAACACAATGCATCAGTTTGAAAGTAGTTAAAGAGTTACCCTCAAAATCACACAATCTTAAGTTTTACTACAGGAAGAAATTTACATAGTATTTACATTACTTTTGTTTCTAATTTAAAATACTTTAGTATTCAAATTCAACTCAAATTCCATTTAATTTAATTTAATTAACTCTTAAATATGATATTTTCTCATGAAGATTTAAAATTTCAGTCAGTTTTAGAGCATTATGTTTATGTAATTAACGAAAAACGAATTTGAATTTATAGCGTGGCAAGCAGTTCCCATAAACCATCCACCAACATAGTGTACGCCTCCCGCAACAGACCACGTCAATACATATACATGAACTAGACTGGAAACGTACATCAACAAATTGTATGATAAAGTGTCTCCTCTGTCCATCAGAATAGACAGAGAGGACATATTCACCGGGTTTCCCATGGCTCTCTCGCACCAGGAAATCTCCCTGCTGCTTCAGCAGTTCTTGGGCCTCTATTCTGGGGATGGCACCATGGTACCAGTCATGCTCCGCCAGCGGTTTCTCGCCCACTGAGATCATGTCAGATAGCTAAAAAAGATTTTAAAGACTAAGTTAGGAAAAAATAAACCTTATCTGCTTTCTAGTAAAATTCACTGCAAGTATAAATACTCATTACATATGCTCAGCCTTCATCTGCCAATTAAAAATTAAATGATAAATCCGACATTTTCACAATAATTAAAGAAAATGTCCCCTGAAGTACCAGGCCTGAAGTTTAACACAAATACTTATCCTTTGATGCTTTTTTCTATCATGCACAGAGGCATTAGAATTTAAAGTTAACAGTCCCTAGACTTATTATTTTTATTACAAAATAAATCTATTTAATAATAATCATCAATCAGAAACATTATGAAAAAAATACATTCAGAGAAATGTATCACAAACACACTAAACATATTTTTTCATTGAATTGACTAACTCTGGAAACACAGACTGCGCACTGTGCCTAAGAGCAGGTAGGAACAGGTCTCAGAGCAACCTGAAGCTGCCTCAATAAGGCTTCCTCACCCACTCCTCTCCCTTACCTCTGCTAAGCCATTACTCTGCCACATGGCCAGTCTTGGGTTTGCAAAGCAATGGCAGATAAAGCCCTGGGAGAAATAGCATCAAAGAAAACCAGCAGCATGCAAACCCAACACACGGGGGAGGCTATTATAAGCTGTGAACACAGAAAGAAAAGAAAGCCATCTATTACTTTAGAAGGACAAATGTTCAAGACAAACAGCAGAAAGAGCTGGCTCTGAAATTCCTGAAGTTAGTGGTGGTTGTTATGATCACAAGTAAGTTCTGTTGTGTTCTATCGTTTCACTGAACTAACTGCCCCAGGTATTTCATGGGTAAAGTATAACATTTTATACAAATTATTCTGGCTCTCAGAATACAGCATTGATGCTCCTCGTGAACACAGTTTATAAATTGGAAATAACTAGGATTAACAATAAAGTTATGGATTGGATCCAAAATGTCCTCCAAAAGCCCTGTGTTGAAGACTGTCCTTCAGGCCATGGTTGGTGGAATGAAAGAAAAGAAAGAAAAAAAGTCAGACCATCTGGTGGCAGTCCTTGGAAAGGACTCCCCACTCTCACGGCTGATAAGAGCTGAGTGTGTGTTTCCATGAAGGAGCTAAAATAAGCCTTTTGTTCTCAGCGGTCATTTATCTCAGCACTTTGCCACAGTGAAGGAAAGCCCGTGAACACAATGAATAAAAGGCAAACATACAACCATCCAAACTGAGGACTTACAGGCTGATATTATGCACCTTATAACTAGGCAGTAAGTGAAAAGCAGTTTAAAGACAGCCTACACTGATCTGTATCACTGAAGAGGTTCAAGCCCAACATACCGTTATCCAAAATTTATCTTAATAGAGATAAAAAGAAAATGTTCCATATAGACCTCAAGTATATTGTACATTTTGGTAGTTATTCTTCCATTTATGGCACCTACACTGTTAAAATACGAAAATGATGTGACAATTTTGTGGCAATTTTTTTCTAAGTGTAGTAAGTCTTTTTATTCTTTTACTGCTAACAATAATGAAAATAATGAAAACACAACAAGGGAACCACCAGTGAACAAGTAAACAGATATTACATTTAAACATTAATGTGAAACTTGTCCAAAGTTTTGTAAACTATACCAAAGAGCTGATAAATTTTCAAGAAGGTAATGAGAAAAATCAAATATCTTTTTTTACATTTGTCACAATATATCTAAATATGTTGGTCCAACTTTTTTACTTTAGGAGAAACCTATTTCTAAGCCTCTCCAAAAGCAAAGTGCCCAAAGATAAGGAATCCACATGACGCCATTCTCAGAGGACTCTCCTGACAGAGCAGTGGCACAAGCAAGGACACCATGGTCTGTTCCCTCCCTGGCTGGCTGGCTACCCATCACAACTGCCATTTACCTAGATTTGGAGGAGTCTAGAAAACTCAGCCAGTCTAAAAGGGGTTTCAGACATGGTTTAACTAACACTGAAGATTTTTGAAGATAAAGTATGTTTGGAAAGGAAATCATTCTGAGAGAATATCAGTTTTGTATTTTGTCTTTTGTGTTTAAGAAAATAAATATATTTTATTTGGAAAAGGTGCCCCAAATCAATGACAGCATGTTTTCACCAGCTTACTGTGATCACTGGCAATTTTCCATCAGACATTTTAACTAAAATTGAGGAGTTCATTTACAATGAACACTATGTAGCCAGACTTCAGTATAGAATACAGGAAGTGTGGCACCATCTGTTTCTTATTTTAAACATTTGAACAAACACTTGAAAAACAGATTTGGTCTCATACAATAAAAATTGTACAAAATTAACCTCAGTAAGCCCTTCTTGAAAATTATATATAAGTAATTTAAAATTTACAACTCAGAGGAAAAAATATGTTTCTTAACATGACTGTGTAGAAGAAATTAGCATATGACTATGATATAACACAAAACAGTTAATAGTTCTTTGTTACTTTCTTAACATTTTATAACTGGAAAAAAAATGGTAAATTAAGACCTTAGGAATAATAGAAGAAAAATGATGTTTAAAATGTATAACATTTAATTTTAATTTGTCTTGATATGGGAATTACATGGTTACTTTTCTAGATACAAAGATAAACGCTGAAAAATGCATGAGAATAATTACATTCCTCCATGCTGATAAACCCCTTAAACATAATGTAGATTTCAAGAAAAAAAAGGTGCAAGTAAACATATTTGCATCATGATTCTACATTAAAAGCACATTTATGACCAACTTCTAATTTAAATATTCCCAAAATTAAAATAATACCTACGTCAATACAGCACAGAAAAATGACTTTTAAAGGGACAACATTAAGCCGGGTGCAGTGGTGCATGCCTGCTTCCCAGCACTCGGGGAGGCAACGGCAGGCAGATCTTTCTGAGTTCAAAGCCAGCCTGCTCTATAAAAGTGAGTTCAGGGCTACACAGGGAAACCCTGTCTCAAAAAAAAAAAAAAAAGAAAGAAAGAAAGAAAGAAAGAAAAAAATTTAAAAGGAGACAGCGTTGACTAAAACTTTAGATCTTTATTTGAATTAGACAATAATAATAATTTTTATCCAAGCTTGAATGAACCTGATTTTAAAGGATGTTTTTCAAAGAGTGGTATAATTAGAAGGACACTGTAGTCCACAGACCAGTAACAGCCGTTCACAGGCCCTGTAACGCGGAACAAAGGGTTGCTCAGCCTGGCACTGCAGCAATTCTATACAAAAGCACCTTGGAAAAAAGGGCAATGCTCTTGGCATGGCTGGACCAGGTCTCATAACTTTAAATGGTTTGAAAGCTTTCCAGCTCAAATGAACCTTTAGGATGGCCAGGAGGCTTTCAAGAGGTACAGCTAGTGCTGCCCAACAGCTCTGTCTGGCTTGAAGCAGGGTCCGGGAGACAGTCCTCAAGGCAAAATGACACAGCCTCATGAAGACGAGAAGATGTGGATGTGGAGCTGGTCCCAAGCTCTGGGATACTAGTGATATGTTACTTGGACCCCGCCATAAGCTGAAAGAGCACTTGCTGGGAGCCGATGTAATGTTAAAATATAAGTGCAGCTACGAATAGTGACATCTGATGTATCAGACACAATATACAGTTAAAGCCTATTTCATCTATCAGCTAATTATCTCATGTCCTTCCTTCCATCAGGATCTAAATGTCTCACTGGGCCCTCTAAAGATAGCTCCACAATTTAACCATTCAGTTACAAACATGCTGACTAATGGGTATGGCAGAAGAATGAAATCACAATTTCATTTCCTTTTTTTTTGTCCAAAATACTTTTTTTAAATATTTTTTTATTTTTAAATGATTTTATACATTCACTTATATTCCAGCTGTAGCCCTCCCCCTCTTTCCTTCCCAATCTTCCCCTCCTTGCCCCTTCTGAGTCCACTGAGAGGGGGTGTCCTCCTCTCCTTCCATCTGGCCCTCGCTGGTCAGGTATCTTCAGGATGGTTACAATGTCCTTACCTGTGGCCTAGCAAGGCTGCTCCTCCCCCGGGGGGGGTGGGGTGGGGGGGAGAGAGGATTCAATGAGCCAGACATTGAGTTCATGTCAGAAACAATTCCTGTCCCCCTTACTAGGGAACCCACTTCAATACTGAGCTACCATGGGCTATGTCTGAGCAGGGGTTGTAGGTTATATCCATGCATGGTCCTTGGTTGGAGAAACAATCTCAGGGAAGACCCCTGTGCCCAGATATATTTGGACCTTGTGGGGCTCCCTGTTTCCTCCACAATTTCATTTAATGCCCTACATATATTTGCTTTACTTTATCTAAAAGTAATATAAATCCAACTTTACATAAAGAAACAGTGATTAATAATTGCTGGTTTCTAAATGTTTAAACAAGTATGCTTCCAGATAGAAAAGAATGAATTTAGACCTCTCCCCATTTCAAGGCAGATTCACAAGTCAAATATGAATCTGACAAGGAAACAAGACAAGTATTTGCTATCATCCTGAAGAGCCACATAGTGCTCTTCACATATGGTATCAAAATCACAAACGTAATAGTGTCAAATTACTCACTGTGTGTGACACTATCACAAAAAAAAGAAAAAATGGCAAACTTACAGGCTAAGAAAAAACATTTGTAGACTACATATATGATAGTGGACTTGATTACCCCTAAAACACTTTTAAAAACTCACATAACTCAACATCTTAAAAAACAAAACAAAACAAAACAACAACAACAAAAAAAACAAGTTTGTGGCTGAGTATAGAGTCCACTGATAGAGTGCTCTGCTAGCAAACTTGAAAACCTGGATTCAATCAGTAGACCCTCAAAAAAGCACACAAAATATTTTAAGCGTGTAAACATTATAAATAGAATCATCTCTAAAGAATACATAAATAGCCAATAAGATCATGAATAACACTTAACATTATCAGTCACTAAGAATTTCAAGTAAAAATGACAATAACAAACCACAATCACTACATGCTTGCAATTAAAACAACAATAAAACAAAACCAAATCAAGGCTGCATACAAAGAAACCCTGTCTTGAAAAACCAAAAGAAAAAAAACCCAGTAATTCCACTACAAGGTATATAGCAAAGAAAAGTGAACTCATTCACAGAAGAATTAAAAAAATGTTCACAGTAGCAGTCTTCATACAAGCCCAAAAGTAAAAAGTTTTATCATAAAAGTCTATGACGATATGACATCAGATGATGAATAGACAAACAATGTGAAAAATCTATGCAATGAAATAGTATTCAATCTTAAGAAGAATTAAGTATTGCCACATAGTGCAACATGAATAAGCCTTAAAAACAGTATAGAAGAATAAGGAAGGGACATATGAAAAGCCTGTTGCTATATGATCCTGTGCATGTGAAAGGTCGGGCAAGAGGCATACTGACAGGTATTAGATAGAAGGAGCTGAGGCAATATGGGCTCAGGCTATCGTCTAAGAAGTGTGACGGACCTGGGACTACACCATTCCAGCATGCTGTGCTGATTATGCTGTACAACCCACAGAACACACTGAAACCTCTTAGAGTACATGTGAAAACATGAATTTTATGTTCTGTGAAGTTTATCACAAGGAAACAACCATGTGTTCATGTGGCAAGTATAGAAAGGGCTTTTCTGGAAAGGAAAAGGCATCATCTAACATAATCAAACATTTGAAGTTATGATTAAGTCGTCTTTAAGTAGCTATTCATTTTTGGATTCCCAGGCTTAGTGTGTGCAAGAGTCACAGCCACACAAAAGCTCAAGGCCTCCGTCAGCATGGGGATAGCACCTAACATGAGAGAACAGCTCCAAGTGGCTGATCGGGCATTTCGTGCTGAAACACCCAGATGTCGAGAGAGATAACCCATATTCTACAGCCCATCATGACAGGCCACACTGAAATTTCAGTGATTAAACTAGCAAAAAGAGTAATCATACTTTAATTATCAAATGTTCCTTACAATGGAAAAAAAAAAAAAAAACTAACACATTTTTAAAAACACACACAGTAATAGCTACTATAAAGGTGCTGTTTCCCTAGACACTATTTGTACTATTCTCTAGTAAGGTCCCAAACACATGAAAAGCCCATAATTATATACATGTCACAAGAAATCTGTGATATGCTGTTCCCTTTCACCCGTGTTTACAAAGCAATTCCAGTTACTGCAGCACAGCATGGCCTCACAGCACCTCACATCTTCAGTAGAAGTTTAGAACGGTATAATATCTTGAAAGTCTTCATACAGCTCTCATTCCAGGATGCTGTGAAACTATTCTATGTTATCAATACTTATATAATATAGCTGATCTCTTACCTTGCCTAGCAAATTTTATGACAATGTATTATATATAGAATACATGTGTATAAATTGTTCAATGTGACTCACAGATTCCAGCATCCAATGGAGGCCTCAGGATGTTCACAGACAATAAGGGAGGTTCACTGCATAAAAAGCTGTTTCTATCCTCCCTATAAAAGTTTTGCCTGAAGGTAAGCTACATTCATATGTAAACAGAGTCCTATGCACACAGAAAGTTGAATCTGATCTGATTTTTCTGTTTGTGAGCACAAACGTATAACCTGAAAGAAGCGAGACAATGATCACTCCAAGATAGCACAAACTTAATCTTACTTACTGTTGAAGAGCCCAGTGTTGACTTTGAAGACCTAATGATTCCAGCAATTGAATTTCGAATAGACTCAAATCTGGAGAGCCTCTCCTTTCTTTCCTGGAAGGGTTAAGAAGCAGCCATTAGTAGCAGCACATTGCTGAGTGTCTAAAGGTATTTGTTCATAGCTCACTTTTCTAACTATATCAAATACAAACTTCCCAACATAACCAACACATATAAATTTATATTCTCTTTTTCAGGTCCCTCAGTATATGTCTTGATTTGGAAAAAATTGAGGAAATTCACATAAATAAAGGAAAGTCAAAGAAAAGCAATTAATTATTAAACAATAGGTACATGAAAAAAGGCATAAGCTCTAAGGAAGCAGTGTACATTAGGACTCTTAAAAAGAACACAGTTGTGAGTTTTACAACTAAGAAAAAAAAGAGGGAAAGAAGAGAAGCACGCAACCATGTTGTGAGGACATGAATATTTGTAAGCTGAGTTAAGTCTCCAAAGGACTCACTGGATCATGAGGATAATGATGCCATGGACCACTGGGAAGGGAGGATAAAACAGCTGGGAAGGGTGGCAGGACTCTTTAAGGAGCCAAGCAACCTGCACTTCTCTTCCCATGAACATTTCAAAATATTACAACAGAAAAACCTATATCTTTCACATCTTCAGATCCGCTTTACCATTGCAAATGGAGCAAGTACAGAAAATAAGACTTAACAGGGAAAGAAAATGACAACTAGAAGGTGTGCAGAAGGGCCGGGAAGAGTGCATGGGTCTGTGTGCAAGTCCTGACTTGCAGCCCAGGACTGCACTACATTTCAGCTGCTGGCCAGCAGCAGACACAGAACAAGAGCACTGGCCTAGGGCGCAGCCGCTCTGCTGTCCCCCATCAAGGGAAGCTCATTGCTGCTGCACTCCAGAGCCTAGTATGGTGTCATACCTTGGTGTGTCCCTCTCCACTTGCCCACCCCACTGCTTTTACTTCTTCTAAGAGCAGTAAGACAGTATTTCTAAATAGCTATAACGGGCACAGCAGAAGTACCTGCTGCTTTCTTGTGACACTGTCATTGTCATACAGGTGACGTTAGCACTTTCATTGCATCTTTCTGTCAGTGGCTGCAGCAAAAAAGGGGATTTTCCAGCCACTCTGAGCAGCTGGAATATCAATTTGAAACAACGTAGGATAATCTAATAGAAGATTATCTTCTTCTTCAACATTCGTGTACTAAGGCTTTCATGTAAGTCACTATTTGTACCTTTGTACACTATTTGATCATGTATAAGACTGAAAAAAAAAAAACAAAACAAACCTTGCTTAGACTTACAAGCGAGTAGAAGTTAGAACTTTGAGCATACCTGTATCTTACATAATATTCTTTTAGAGAAAGGCATCATTCCCACAGTAGCAATGATGATCCCTAATGATGATCTTGTTGGGACTGTGAGGACGTGTTCTATAGCTTTAGCCCAAACATGAGATACAGATTTTTTTTAACGATGCTAGAAGGCCTGAGAGAAGAGCACTCACTGAAACACAAGAATAAAGCAACCTTTGACAAAGCATGTCTGTCCTCACTGTCAAACTGTTTGTATGCATATGCTTTGTTGTTGGTCTTTAAATCTATTTCCGATGTTTCATACATCTGCAGATATGACAACAGATTTAAGGAAGCAAAACTACAGCCAGGATGTAAGGGCAGACTGGTGGGGAGTTGAGCACATATGGCTGCATACAGGATGAGCACGTGGGATGAAAAACACGTCAGTGGCTGTGCATTCCACTCCCCAGAGAAACCTGTGCTTTCTCCTCTTCCTTTCTGGAATGTCCTATCTGCTCCGAGCAGCTGGAAAAGTCACCTTTTGGCTGCAGCCACTGACAGAAAGTTGCAATGAAAGTGCTAATGTCACCTGTATGACAATGACAGTATCACAAGAAAGCAGCAGGCACTTTTACTTTGCCCATATGTTTTTCCTCTGCAAAGAGTTCTTCATTCACATGCTAGAGGAAGTGTTCTTCCAGTGTGCGGGTACTAGAAAAATATGACTGAAAACTACACAGAGAAAGCATAAGCCAAAACAATAATTTTCTTCAAATAAGGTTTTCAGGATTAACATAGTAGAAATGGCCATCTTACCAAAGGCAGTCTACAGATCCAATGCAATTCCCATCAAATTATCAACACAATTCTTTACAGACGTTAAAAGAAAAATTCTCAACGTCATATGGAATAACAAGAAACCCAGAATCGCTAAAACAATTCTCTACAGTAAAAGATCTTCTGGAGGTATCTCCATCCCTGATCTCAAGCTGTACTATAGAGCAACAGTAGTAAAATCTGCATGGCACTGGCATAGAAACAGACTGGCAGATCAATGGAATGGAATAGAAGACCCAGAAATAAACCCACACACTTATGGACACCTGATCTTTGACAAAGATGCCAAAACCATACAATGGAAAAAAGACAGCATCTTCAACAAATGATACTAGTCTAACTGGATGTCTGCATGTAGAAAAATGCAAACAGATCCATACTTATCACCCTGCATAAAACTAAAGTCCAAGTGGATCAAAGACCTCAACATAAAACCAGACACACTAACCCTATTAGAAGAAAAAGTGGGGAAGAGCCTTGAACTCCTTCGCACAGGAAACAACTTCCTGAACAGAACACCAACAGCACAGGCCCTAAGATCAACAATCAATAAATGGGATCTCATGAAACTGAAAAGCTTCTGTAAAGCAAAAGACACTGTCATCAAAATAAAACGACTGCCTACAGATTGGGAAAGAATCTTCACCAACCCTGTATCTGACAGAGGGCTAATATCCAGAATATATAAAGAACTCAAGAAGTTAAAAGCAACAAATCAAATAATTCAATTAAAAATGGGGTACAGAGCTAAACAGAGAACTCCCAACAGAGGACTATAGAAACACTTAAAGAAATGCTCAACCTCATTAGCCATCAGGGAGATGCAAATCAAAATGACCCTGAGATTTCACCTTACACCCATTAGAATGGCCAAAATCAAAAACTTGAGTGACAATACATGCTGGAGAAGATGTGGAGAAAGGGGAACTCTTTTCCATGGCTGGTGGAAATGTAAACTTGTACAACCACTTTGGAAATCAATCTGGTGCTTTCTCAGACAATTATGAACAGTGTACCTCAAGATCCAGCTATCACCTCTGGGCATATATCCAAAAGATGCTCAAGTATACAACAAAGACATTTGCTCAACCATGTTCATAGCAGCTTTATTTGTAATAGCCAGATGCTGGAAACAACCCAGATGTCCCTCAGTTGAGGAATGGATACAGAAATTGTGGTACATTTGCACAATGGAATACTACTCAGCAATCAAATAAGGTTTAAAAAAAAATTAGGGAAAAAATTTAAATATTAGGAAATATTTTCTACACATGAAATAATTATATGTATTCATACATATTAACATATTCATAAACTGCCCCAGGTATGCTTTGGGCACCCAACCCTAGAAAAGAAAACCTTTCATCAAAACTCTTTACCATTTCCTTAAGGAGATAATATTAGAATTATATCACAGGTTAGAAATATCTGATAAGTAAATCAGGTGTGGGATGAATGACTTCAAAACCCACTCTTTTGACCTTAAGTCACAAAGTACAAGGATACAATTGGTGAAAGCAGGTTTTCTAAAGGTTAAAGGTGCAATTTAGATAGACTGATCTAAGAATATACTAATAATCATTGTAATACCACCTCATACTTTATAGATGGTAATCAAAATGCAAACGGAATTTACAAGATATTCCAGCCAGCTTCTGCTCCCTTGGTGTCCAGATTTCCAGCAGTAAAACAACAAATTCATTTGCCTAGTTCTTGTCTACATAATATTCAATACCAGCTTTATATTACAGTTTACCTAATAACACACCAGCCTGTGCTGAATTTACTGACAGGCTGATTTTTATAGGCAACTATTAGATGGCTATTTACCAGAAAATAAAGATGAAAAACCCTCTTTCCAACAGACACTGTGAAGTGTGCCTGAGTCAGGCTGCTGGTGGGTGGGGAAGAGCATTCATTCGCCCACCTCAAGTGAGAACATGACAGAGAGCTTGCTCCATGGAAGAGAGAGGATCATCTGCCAAAGTGACAGCTCCTCCCAGTGGAGGGAGGCAGTGGAGGAGAGCAGGGAGTGGCAGCATTATGGAAGACCCTGACAGCTAAGCTCCACGTGCAGAATTAGTTTCACATCTCATTTAAGAACAGTTTTTTGGAGGAAGAGTGCTATAATTGGGATGGAAAGCAAATATACCAATTAAAAATAGCTTTTCACAGTGTGAAATTAAATAATTAAAATCAGATCTTGATTTGTCCTGGGTAGAAACACACACACAAACACACACACATGCACACACGCCATATTTCACTGTTGACTTTATATCAAACAACTAAATGGCTACTTTTAAAAATTAAAAAGGCTACCTTTTAAGACAGTCACCATAAATAGAATGCCTAACTGCATCTATACATCTGTATTCACACATATAAAACTAGAATGTGTCATATTAATTATAAATTTACCTGCTATTACTCATTATCAATATCCTTTACCTCTATATGAAACAATAGCTAAATTTCCTAATGCTTAGTCATACCCTTCTAGGTTTCCGATAACTCTTCACTGTGAAGCAGAAGCATCAAGGGCAAGGGTGAAGGGTTTGTGACGTCAGAGGCCACACCACATGGCTTTCTTGCTGCTGCAGCGAGAGGTAACACTGAACCACAGAGCAGTTCTCCAAGCAAGGGCCTGGAGGGAGTAGCAAAGATGAGGCTCTCACACAAAAGGCACAAGACTGTACAGAGGTCTACCCAAGTGACTCCTCTGTTCCCAGCCTTCTCCGCAGTTGGAGGGAAGGCTCTAGACCAGAAAGATTCCTGCCACCAAGATCCCTCTGCCCATCACTGTGAGACACAGATGCTCATAAAGCAGAGACACTGGCAGCTGCAGTCACGGCCACAAAGGAAAGTCCTATTCCGTCCCCAGAGACCCTCAGCACAGGACACAAGAAGTGTAGTCAACTCTCAAAGTAGGTATGGGGACAC